AGGGAAAGCTGCTGAAGGAAATGGCCCACACTTAAATCACTTCAGTTACCCGTCATCAGAATGGTTTGATCGAACGGAAAAACAACAAACTTCCTCCTTTTGAATAATGCACAAGTTATGTGCATCATTCAGACAATGCTAGATTTAGATAAGTACGATTTAGAAAAGAAGGTTTAATAAGTACGGAATAGTACAGAGATAGCAGGTCAAATTTGCTAAATAATTATCATAATAAATAGTTATATTATATTTATTATATTATATTTAGTGCTGTCAAACGATTAATCACGATAAATAAACAAAAAATAAACGTTTTTGTTTACATAATATATGTGTGTGTGCTGTGTATATTTATTATGTATACACGTGCATATACATTCATAAAGTCTTCCAGTTTTGTGGACAGTCACACGAAGACCCATCACTAGTCAGATGGTGTGTGTATTTATATATACATAATAAATATACACAGTACACACATATATTATGTAAAGAAAAACTTTTATTTTGGATGTGATTAATCACGATTAATCGTTTGACAGCACTAATTATATTATATTATATTATATCAGTATTATATCAGAAATATCAGTGAAGAGTGATGCCTCATTTTCTTTTTCTTTCTTTTTTAAATGTATAATTGATCAATTCAATTAAAGATATCCTGTCTGCTTTTTTAAAATAGTTTTGTCTGAGCTTTGTCATTTTTTTTTATTTAATTTTTTTTTTATATTGGCTTAGTGTTTGTTATATTTAGATAATGATATCTAAATCTGTTATATTATATTATTTTATTTTATTTTAGATTAGATCAGATCATATTATATTTGTATTTGAAATACCAATGGAGAATGATGCCTCATTTATTTATTTTTTTATTATTATTTATCATCAATACAATTAAAGATATTCCTTACTTTTTAAAAATAATTTTCAGTGAACTTTTTCCTTTTTCTGGTTTCTTTTTTGATACTATCTTAGACTTTTTGTCCCTTTAGAATATTTTTTACAGCATTTATTTATCATTTACTTATTTGTATAACATTTAGCGAGTATCAGTGACACTTTTTGTTTTTGTAAATTAAACTATACAGCAGTTATTTTCCAACAAATGCCAAAAAAAAAAAACCAATGTTGTTTTCTTTGGTCAGGCTCACGCACTAGGCAGCGGTCGTGCGGTACGTCCCATCAAACTACATATTACTGATACTAACACTGGGTGACAAGGGGCATAAAAGCCAATATGAGTCTCTTATTCTGTAGTTCACAAGACATGTGTCTTTTTAATAATAGTTAAGGTGCTTAAAGGTAAGAATTAGAGATAAGTATTGGCTTTTATGTGTGCTTGAATCAGTGTGACCTTTAAAGTTGGGTAAGGACTAGTCCTGGGGTGCCGTGCATTGTTTTAGCACAGAGCATGAACATTTCTACTCATCCTTATATGCAAATTTTGCCTGACCTATAGAGGTGAAACTTGCATAACAACATAAACAGACAGTTTACCATTCTTCATTAATTAATTAAATGTTCAGCTCTGTCTCCATTGCCATTGTGTTGTGGGTTTTGTTGTGTGTTTTGTTTGGCAGAAGGTGTAACCATTATCGTGATCTAGCATGTAATGGTTTTTCCATCCCTCATTCTCGGGTGTGACAGCATGGCATGTTTAAATATGCAGTGTATACTTGGCATGTTTGTGAAAGTGATATGTTGGTTTCAGGAGGAGTTCTGCTACCCCGTCGAGTGCCTGACTTTGACCGTAGAGGAGGTGATGCATATCAGACAGGTTCTTGTTAAAGCAGAGCTGGAGAAGTTCCAACAGTATAAAGATGTCTATAATGCGCTAAAGAAAGGAAAGGTAAATTTACTCTTCACATTCATTGCCCGCTCTACATGTATAGCACTATATACATTAGCCCAAGCTTATGTTTTGGGATTGTCTTCTTGTTTGGAGCACATGATGCTGTCTATTCAGGCAGCTCACTAGGTTTTGAACATGCTAGGTGTGTAAGCAAGTGTTTGATTGTGTAACCCTTCCTCTCAGCTTTGCTTCTCATGTCGGACGAAGAAGTTCTCGCTCTTCACCTGGTCCTACACGTGCCAGTTCTGTAAGAGGTGGGTGGAGATTCTCATTTCAGACTTGAAATGAAGAAAGTAAAGTGATGTGCAGTGGAATCATATTTTTTCTTCTTTTCTTCTCACAGGCCTGTTTGTTCACAGTGCTGTAAGAAGGTAAATGTTCACCAAGGCTGTATTTATTTGATCAAAAATACAGTAAAACAGTACATATTATTACAATTGAAAATACATGTTTTGTATTTGAATCTGTTTTAAAATGTAATTTATTTCTATGATGCAAAGCAGAATTTTCAGCATCATTTCTCCAGTATTCAGTCACATGATCCTTCAGAAATCATTCTAATGTGCTGATTTGCTGCTCCTTTTATCATTATTATCAATGTTGAAAAAAATTTTGATGAATAAAAACAGCTTTTATTTGAAATAGAAATAAATCTTTTGTAACACTATAAACACTGACTTTTGATCAATTTAATGCATCCTTGCTTAATAAAAGTATTAATTTCTTATTGACCCTAGAGTTTTGAACAGTAGTGTGCTTTTTTCACTTTGCTAATGACCTCATGCCCTCTCATCTCAGATGAAGTTGCCCTCCAAGCCCCATGCCAGCCTGCCCATCTCCTCTCTGGGCCCCAGCATCCTGCCCAAAAAGGAGTCTGCAGTGTCAGCCGCGACAGAGAAGCCCTCCTCCACATCCAGCCACAAGCGTCACAGCCTTCAGCGCACAATGTCCAGGTGAGCTTCACAAATGATGAGAGAGTCTGTATCGTTTGTACCAGGATTCATAAGGGAGATGCAGAGGGTTTGAGAGCATTAAAACAAGCATTAACATTAAAATAAACAAATGCGACTGTTTGTGAGAATGTAGTGTCATTTTCACATTCACATAATTTCCAACATTTTGGTGGACCAAAGTCTACAACATTTCACCAGAATTGCGCCAGAATAAAAGCTTGAATTTGGAATGTTAAAAGCTCAATTGTTTGAGCCAGTGTTATTTTACTATCATTTAGATACTATACAGCATTTTATAATTTGAATCTGTTTTTATTTTTGTATTTTCTGTTTTCATTTTAATTTGAGTAATTTTGTGTGTTTGTCATTTTTATTAGTTTTTAAAAATATGTCTGATTTCTTTATTTCCATTTTAGTTGTAGTTATTTTAGTACATTAGAATAAACGAAATAAAAAAGAGCAAGACTGCTTTGGCAACTATTTAAATAACATATTATATTACAATATTTATTATAAAACATTTCATTTCAGTTAACTTTATTTTAAAATAATAAAAATGTTTTTATCATGCTTTTAGTTTTAGTTAACTATGATAACCCTGGTGTGAATGTTTGAAAGCGAAACATTTAAGACATACATATTAGTATTATAACTTGTAGTGTAAAATAACATTTTTATTACATTTTCTTTATTTTACACTACAATTGTAATTCACAACAACAATGTTTCTGTCTTAATTTTTTATAATTAGAGGTAAAACATTATTAGTATTATTATATTACATTATATTATATATTAAATTTAATTGGGTACCTAAAACACAAGAATATAATGTAGACCGAAACACAACTAAAAAGAGGATTGAGGTCACTTTAAAGTTCAGATACAAAGTTAAATGTTTATCATATCACAGTTGATATATGACAAAATAATCAAGTCATGCAGCCCTTTATATAAATAAAACTCAAATAATCAAATAAAACCCTTACTAAAAAGTTTTACCTGCATTACTTGTTTTTACTTTACTTGCATCAGAGAACCGTAAACATGTAATTGTGTTATTTAAATGATTGAAATATTTAATACTTCAAATCAAATTGGGTTCTAAAGGGTTCAGCTGACAAAACAGTTTGTGAACTCTTGATCTGTAGCGTGGTAATGGCTGCCAGGAAGATCATTTCTTGTGACGATTCCTCTCTCAGATCATCAAAGCACGCTGAGCGCTCGTCCTCCAAAGACGAGCTGGAGCTGCCGGAGCAGTTCACAGAGGACTGGAGCAGCATGGAGGTCTGCGTGGACTGCAAGAAGTTCATCAATGACATAATCAGCAACAGCAGGCGCAACCTGACCACCAAACGTGCCCGGCTGCACCGCAGGACCCACTCTGTCTACATGTCCAACACCAGCTCTTCCAACTACAAACCCTCAGAACGGACTATCAAAGAGGTTTAGGATGTTACATACTGTATGAAAAATACGCCCACTTTTGTTAGCTTTGTAACGTTCCTTCAATATCACTTCTTTTCCATTTAAAAAGTGCCAGAGGTGAAGGAATAAAGCCATCCCTCTTCCAGCATGAGTCCTTAAGCACCAGCCTTCTCAGGAAAAGGTTTCTTCTGTGATTAAAGCTTTGGAATGTAGTTTAACACACTTTAAATTGACTTTGACCAGCTTTTCTCAAATGAACACACATTTGAATGAAATGACAGTGTGAAAAAAGATATTGCAAGGCTGCTTTGATCACTGAAAGACACAAGGCCTGAATGTAAATTTTTCAATGGAGCTCAATTGTATGTGAATAGTTGCTGAATGCTCAGCCTAAATGTAAATAGGCATCCAAACTGACTTATTTTCCCCTTTTAGGAAGTACTAGTCGATTGCTGAAAGACCAAGAGACTGTAGATTTATTCAGCCTCCGCAACAATTCAAGATCAAGTCTTACCAAATGTTTTTCTTATTGTTTGTTAAAATTGCTGCTGTGATTGTGACATGGTCCAAACGAATGCCGCTTTAGATAATTACAGAAAGTACTTACAGATAAATATATTTTTCCTGTCTGATGGCAGTGTTTTTGAGATTTTAGTCAAAGATGAGGGTCAAGAAGTGTTTTTTAAGAGCTGATGCTGAAAGCTGTAGTGTTTCTTAAAGGAGTGATCGGCTGTGCCAAACAAATCTCCACTATCTGAGCAATATGTGTCTTGGACCTGATGTACATAGTCAATAACATTTACCGGAGATGGTGACGGCCCAAAGGGGGAAGCCAGTTCTCTCTTTTATATAGGAAGTGACTTTTGTAGGATATGTTTATGTACATGCTGTATATCCGAATCTCATCTGATCCACTTATCTATTAAAATAGGCTCTATTGTTCTAAAGTTATGATTTATATTATTAATAATGATTATTTTATTTTTCAGTGTCAAATGTTGCTTTCTTTTCATGTTCACTCAACAACTACAAATATTTTGTTATTTTTCAGCTGCACATTTATTTTGACGTCTTAAAACTTTGTAAATTAATTTATAATATATTATTAATTACTGTTCTGTGCAATGAAACACCCCAGGAGACTTTAAATATGAAGGTACTGAAGTCATGTCAGGGTTTTTGGAAGGATTGTTTCTGTTTGTCCTTAAATTAAAAGAAAATACACACACTTGGTATATGGTATACAGGCCTGTTCTTTTGTTTTGTGCAAAACTGACTGTACTGCCTTCCGCTGAAGAATGATTGGTGTGCATGATGAAATCTATGATTTAAAAAAAAAATAGAACTGAATTGCCTATAAATAAAGCATCAAATTTGAATATTTGAAATTGAATTTGATTTTATTTCACACTCCTCATCAGAATTGCATTGATATGCCAATGAAGAATTTTGTGCTTACATTTATCTCATATGATGAAGATAACATTACTAGGATGTATTAAAACATTTAAATTAGATACCCCTATGGAGCCATAAAAAAGGTCTATCATCTGTGAGGATGTTAATGACACCGGCAATTTAACATTATTTGCAAATGATATGATGTGTTTAAGCTTCAAAATAATGCAAACTTATCTACATATTCATGCCTTAACATGTAGCCTTTAATAATAGCCACATAATGTTTTTGTGACAAATTTATGGAGGAATAGACCAGGTTATATATATTACAGTGCGTTTAATGGATTGTACTGTTATTTAACAACAGATAGATTATTCAGATGACAAAAGTTTTTAGTTGTGAGCTTTGAAAATTACGTAATCTAGTACTTTGATATAGTGTCGTTGTAAAGACTGTAGTCTATCCCTCATAATCTCGTTTTTACCCGCGTTAAATTCAATATGGCGTCTAACCTGAGGCCTGTTGTACGGTTTCTATGGTCTTTGGACGTTTGGGTTTGAAAAAAAACGAAACTAAAGATTTTTTGCTTATGATTTTGACATTTGACTGTCTAAATAGAAGTGAATGCTTGTCCCAAACTAGTGGGAAAGAGACAGAACTGCAATTCTCCACTAGAGGGCAGAAAAACATCACTTTCAACAGCTGACTAAAACTTCTGGCAAATTCTACATTTCTTAAACGGTTATGTATCATTTACATTTACATTTATTCATTTAGCAGACGCTTTTATCCAATGCGACTTACAATTGGGAATACATCAAGCGATTCATCTTAAAGAGGCAAATAGACACAGGAAGTGCTCGTGATACCAAGTTTCAAGCATTGTTCAAATAAGTACAAGCTAGACAGGGAAAGATTAAAGAAAGGAGAAAACAAAGTAATTTTTTTTTTTTTTAGGATGAAGTCAAATAGTGACGAAAGAGATTAATGTTCATCTGTCGCTTGAAAATTGTCAGGGAATCAGCATTCCGGATAGGGTTTGGAAGATCATTCCACCAGCCAGCCATGTAGCATACATAATCGCACTGTAATCTTACTAAAAATCGTGTTAGTAATTAAAAATCTCTCTTTCCTTCTAAAAAAAAAAAGTAATTTTGAACAAAATAAATAATTATTAGTATAGTCCATGTTTTTTCTGCACATGTTGTGTGTGGTAAACAACAACAAACCACTTTCTAAATGTGACAAACTGCTTCATTGTGCACTTTGACCCTGCTTGTGTCTCCTTTTCCATTACATGAGCAGAACATGGTGGTTATTGTAAAATGTTTGTGAAAAATTTAGTAAAATTATTAGTTTATTTATAAAATACAGATTTGTATGAGCTGTTTTCGTTCATTTCAGATATGCATAGCAATACCCATGACATTCAGATCAGAAATACAATTGCACAACAACGTAATATGTCCAAAATACAGCACATAATTACTTAAAGTCTCAATATTTTACTTTTGATTTTTCTATTTCAAATAAAAAAACACCACTTATCAATACACTTCTGACGACTTTTTTCAAAAGGCCTAATTACATAGATCATGCCGACTTATTTGCAAACAAACACATTCCCGCTGAGGTTCAGCTGAAATGGTTCAGCTTAATGGGCTTGAGTCTATGAGAGTGGACTGTATACTGAGATGATAGTGGCAAAACAAGCCTGTCCTGCAGTCTGCTTGGTGGTTCCCATGACAACAGTTGTCAAGGGCTATCTATGCTTGAGGGGTGTACTTTCTATCTAAAAGCTTGGGGCTAAAGTTAGTGGTGAGTTTTAGCTCCAGACCAGCTGTGCTTCCGATTATGCTGCCTCTCCCGCGGTCAGGCCCCTTTGTTATGCTCAGTATGTAGGCTAGTTGTTTACTTCTTGTTGCGTCGTGAAATGACAAAGTGCAGTGAAAACTAAGCTGAATCGATCCGTTTTAGAAATGAATAGCTTAGAAACCCTTCAATATTTCTTTCATTCAGTCGTGCAATTCAATAGAAAAACAGAGATGTCTAATATACCTCATTTTTGGTTTAATCATCAAAGGTAAGGTCAGCAGGCACAAAGTAAACCGTTTCCAAGCAGCATTAAATACTAGGAGGCAATGGACATCTTGACTGAATGTATCTTAAGTGATGTCAAGGCTCTTCAAGCCCATATTTTTTATTTGATAATGGAGTTTGTGGACAAGAAAACCTCTTCAAACCGTAAGCAAGTGCACTTTGAGATTAACATAATGCAGCAAACACAAATCATTGCTAACAAGCACTTCCTGTTCTTTCAGAAGTCATGATTTCATTTATATCATCAAAGTTTTTTTTTGCTACAAGGGGGAAATAAGAAATAAAATACATGGCCAAAAGTATGTGGACACCACAATTCATTCATTTAGCTGTGTGTTTGCGTACACTGTGTTCCGATTTATTATGTTTGATGATCTCTATTCAGTTTTCTTAAAATATTAATTGTCTTTTTTGCCTTTTGCAAGAGATTCATGTTTTTCATCTTCAAAAAAATCTTTCTTGCATTCTTTCTTTTTTCCATTTAGCCTAAGAAGAACTGACTATTTAACAAACCTGTCTGAGATTGATACCAGTTATCTAAAAAAAGTGAAATAAAACAAACTAAAATCTGTTTATTAATAATAATAATAATGTTTATTTTACTGAAATCCTACTGATATGTAACTTACATAATATGGAACACAGTGTATGCATGTATATGTATCTATTAGTTGTTATTATAATTATATATAGCCTAGTCACCTAGTTTATTTTGTCCATTGACCAAGTTTTATTACAGATATATATAGCCTACCTTTTTATCATCAGACAAAAAATAAATAAAAGAATATAAAATAAATCAAGCAATATATTTTGGTCATGGAAAAGGCTCAGAAGGCAATTGTCAACTAGCAGCTTCAGGTAAAAATGAAACAATTTTAATTAATCGCATTTAATTATAGTTTAGTTCAGTATTAAGTTTGAATCAGTTTGTGAAAATGACAGATCTGGATCACAGACATAACCCTGTTAGTGTACGGATTAATTGTGGATTAATTTTCACAGACTGTAATGTTGTATTTCTCCCATAATTAACCCAGTAATTAGTTCTTAAAATATACAGTAGTCAACATTTGAAGTGGATCAAAAAAGTTAATCAAAGTTGTCCTAAGATAAGAACCACTGATCTATAATGACTTCTAATGAATGTTCTCTATTATAGATCAGTGATAAGAACACATTTTGGTTTTAGGTTTTAGGACAACTTTGATGAAAGGTTTTGATCCTCTTCAAATGTTGACTAGTGTATTTTTAAAATGATTTTTTAATATATGATAAAAATTAATAACTATACTTTGTGTTATATGGCCCTCATGATACAAAAACTAAGCACTGCTGCAAGGGGCTTTCTAAAGTTGTAAAGTTAATTGTTGAAACATGGTAGTTTATTGGTCCTCAAGCAGGACCTAGAGAACCTATAGGCCAGTGCTTTTGAACCCTGGTCCTGGTTGTGGCTTAAAGGGATATAGCTGCAGCTGGAAAGTAAGAATAAAATTAATTTGCTACCTATTAGATTGTGTTTCATTAACTTCTACACCTACCCCAAACCTAAACCTACCCCTTACAATAATACAAATACAGTAATTATTGTTGTTCAGGCGTGACAAAAATTACACAATATTAATGTGCACATGCCCAGTAGCTGCAGCTGTATCCCATCTAGCTTTAACCCCTGGTCCTTGGGAGCCACCATTCTGTCTCACTTATTAAACACACCTGATTCAGATCACCAGCTCATTAGGCGTAAGCTCCATGAATTCAGCTGAGTGTGTCAAATAAGGGAGACATGCAAATTGTGTAGAGCAGAATTGAAAACCACTGACCCAGACAAACCTCCAGTGGGCCAACAGTAAGTCTTAAACTTATTTATATGTAATTACGGTAACTTGCTAAAATGCTAATAGTTGCTTCTCAGCTTAGGAGGGTCTTTGAATGCTGTCCCTAAAATAAGGTGGGACCTTCGTGTCAAAAAGTTAGAGAACCACTGCTGTTGATTTTTTTTTTATTATTATCATTTTGCTGATGGAGCAATTGGAAATCCAAAAAGCATATTTGATTTGAATATAATCACCCTTGTACATCTATAAAAGTTTACCCCAGTTCATTTCCATGTTCCAAACCCCGAAATGGGTTCATTGTCATGCTGGAACAGAAAAGGGCCCCATACTGAAAATATTAATCTCAGCAGATTGCTTGGCTGTATGCTTGATTTTATGCATCTGTTAGATATGTGTCTGTAGCAGAAATAGTAAACCATGTTAATTAGAATCAGGTGTCCACATACTTTTAGCGTGCATGGTACATAAAGCATTTCATGATCCATTAGGTTCGTTTTTGGCATTCGTTAATTACATAGAACTGACCACACACCACAGCTCTCAGGGAATGTGCTCTTCACTTCACCGATTACTTCAACAAACAGTCATGTCCTTATGCTTGTAGATTTTACACTGGCTAAAAAGATTGTCATATCCAATTATTGTCATATTCCAATTAAATTCATGCTAACAAGGCACTATTGACTAAAATTTGACTGCTCAAGCCATTCTGAGAGAAGGAGATCATGATGAGAAACATCTGTCTGAAGATTTTTGGGTCACAGTTCTGCAGGGACAGCTGTACATTGCATAAGTCTGCCGTTTTGCTCTGAGGTCCTGGGCTCACTCCCTGAGGTCCACTGTGACACTTGCGATTGCCAGCTCAAATC